AAAAAAAAAAAAAAAAAAAAAAAAAAAAAAAAAAAGTTCTTGGCCTAAGACTTCTAAAATGAAGGTTGAATGCTTTTCCAAGTGACAGCCACAGAGCCAATGCTTTACCACAACTCATCTAAAGAAAAGATAAAGGTAAGCCAGGCATGGGGACATGCACCTCTAATCCCAGCACTTGGGAGGCTGAAGCTAGTTTGAGTCCCACCTGGACAAGTTAACAAGATCCTGATTCAAAATGTAAAAGAAATATAAAGGGCTGGAGGTGTGGCCCAGCACAAGCCCCTGGGTTCAACGTTCAGAATTAGGGGGAAAAGATAAAGGTAAACTAAAAACAGGAAAATAAACATCTGCTACCATACTCTGTGACCCTGAGCAAAAGCTTCCATTCTCTGAGCCTCCTAGTCCTTATCGAAATAGAGGAGGTTGCGATCTCAAACTCAAAAATCACATGGCATTGTTTATATGCCAAGCTCTGCCCTTAGCTTCCTGGAGTTTTTATTATTTATGTGTGGCTCCTCCTTCCCTGTCAGTCCCTTGATTAAAGAGCTGGCTTCCCCCTCTGAAGGCTTCTGAAGTGTGAGCAACACCTCCTGACTCCTGCAGAATCAGCTCTCCCCAGCATGCAAGGTTGCCCGCTGGGTGCCACCCGGGCAAGCCTCAGCCTTAGCCTCTTGCTGCTGCTTGGCCTCTGGCTGGACAGAGGCGTGCGAGCCAAGGAGCTGAAGTTTGTGACAGTGGTAAGTGCGCTTTCTCCGTGCTTTCCCTAGGAGACTGATCGTGGCAGGGCCTGGAAACCCACGAATCAGGTTTCATTTCACCTTTCTGTTGTCTCCCAGAGACTGGGCTCTGTTAAGACTCAGCAAATAATAGAGTTTGGCAAGTTCCTCTTCATGAAGGCATAACGTGTGTGACCTAACAAGAAAGTTGTAGTAGTTTTATTCTTTCTCTTTTCTTTTCTTTTTCCTTCAGCGATGTTACTTGATTACTTTAGGACTTCTTTGAATTCAGGTTCCTTTTTGACAGGCGCACCCAAATAGGAGGAGCAGCCGCCATGCTCTTTATACCGTGGGAGGTAAACTGGCTTCATCTGATTTAATGATTATTTGTTTGTAAACCAAAAGCATGAGTTTTTTTTCCCCCTCAGATTAAGTAGCCCCTTCCCTTTATGTTTATCAAAAAATTGGAACAGATGTATGTAAACAGCCTCTGTAGCACAAAAGAACAACTAAACTCAGTTTTTGAGAACTTAGTGATATATATATATATAAATATATATATGTCATGGTTTTGCCTACCCATGGGTATGTGTGACAATTAAGGAGAAGGGGAAGGAGGTGTTAATGCATGGATCATGTTAGGGAAATAAATAGTTTAGAAATGTATGGAAACAGGGTTTGCAAAGTAAAGGGAATTCACTGTGTTACACGGGAATCTTTGATTTTCTCTCTCTCTCTCTCTCTCTCTCTCTCTCTCTCTCTTTCCCTCTCTCTCTCTCTCTCTCTCTCTCGCTCCCCTTTCCTCCCTTTCTGCCTTCAAAAATGATGTACTGGGAAGAACTCAGGGCCTCACACATGCTAGGCAAGCATTCTACATTTTCAATCCTTTTTGCTTTTTTTAAAAAATCTTGAGTTAAGGTGGTCCTAAGCTGCCCACATGGTCTCAAACTTGTGATCTTCCTGCCTCAGCCACTCAAGTGGCTATGATTACAAATGTGTGCCCTGCTGTGAAATTTTTTCTTGATTAAATTAAGGCAATATACTTTGAGGAAGAACACTACAGAGGTGATGTGCCTTGTGCAGGACATCATGCCAGTGGCACATGACATTGATTTGTTTTGGTACTGGTTGTATCATTTAGCTTTATATTACAGTGACAAAACACCTGAGAAAATTACCTTATAAAGAGAAAGGGTAGATTTAATCCATAGTTTTGGAGCTTTCAGTCCCAAATCATGTTGCCCCACTGCTTTGGGTCTTTGATGAAGGTGCTAGATGGCAATAGCTTTGGTGAGGTGCACATGTAGGAGGAAATTTCTTGCATAATGAACCAGGAAGTGGAGAGAGATGGAATGGAGTGGTTGGGTTTCACAAGCCCCTTAGAGGGCAGCATATCCTAGGATCTAAGGATCCCCAGAGGGCCACAGCATCTCCAAATTATACCATTCTGGGTACCAAGCCTTATCACATGGACATTTGGGGCGACACTATCAGTGCTAGTGATATTGACCTTGATTGTTGGTCAAAGTGCTCCTGGCCAGGGTTCTATGAAGTTACTATTTTTTTCCCTTTGCAATTAACAACATTTTATAAGAATTTATTTTATAATTGATAAGTATTTTTATGAGGAGACAGTTTAAGCCTATACAAATATCCTAGTTTTTCTTTACTCTTTCTTTTGCTCACTGATGTTAGCATTCACTGGTAGAGTCCACCTTGAGCAATAACTAATGTGGTCCTATAAGGGATATTTAATTCATTCCTTCTACATTTATTAGTTGGAATTCTTTTGTAAGGAGCAGATGTCCTTCCTTCCTTATATATTTAGCCAAACATCTATCTAAAATAGATTCATGGATAGTTATTTGTTATTTGGATTATAATCTGTTGCCATCATTGTTTATTTCATTGCGTGTGTCTGTCTGACCTCGGCCTCTGGGAGCTCTTGCAGGTCAGCTTCTGCAGCCTTTTGTTGTTGTTGTTTTGTTTTTGTTTTTGTTTTTGTTTTGATACTGGGGATTGAACTTGGGTCCTTGCGCCTGCAAGGCAGGCAGCGGAACCACTGGGCTAAATCCCTGGCCCATTCTGCAGCCTTTTGACATGTCCTTACCTTTTTGGGGTTTTCCTTCAGCACCTCCTTAGTTTCTAATCTCACAAGATGCTCCAGGATTATCTTGCATTTTCCCTGCCCCAGCCTTGGAATCAACTTTTTTTTCCCCCAAGAATCCCTGGTGGCTCCTTTTATTAGAAAATGATATTTCCAAATGAGGATTTGGAATCAGGGGTGCTCCTTGTCATGGGCATCACTGCTTACCAGGCCTCTCAGCAGACAAAACAAGACACTGATGCACGTATACCAACATGTATGCATGCACGGATCTGTACCTCTTTTTATATCTTTCTGTTTGTGTCTGAGTTGGCTTGACATGCATAACCAAATAGCACAGTCTGGGTGATTTGGCAACAGAAATTTATTTTTCATGGTTCTGGAGGCTGGGTGATCAGCCTTGGTAGGTTTGATTTCTCCTTGAGTCTTTCTTGCCTCATACATGGCTGTCTTCTTGCTGTGTCTTCATGTGGTCTTTCCTCTGCGTGCTCCCATACCTGGTGTTTCTCCCTCTCCTTATGAGGATTCAGTCATATGGGATTATGACCCACACTAAAGCCCTCATTTAACTTCAATTACCTCCTCAAGGTTTCTAACTCTGAATACTCCCGAGTCATTAGGATTACAGCTTCAGATTATAAATTTGGGAGAGATATGATTCAGTCCCTATCTATCTATTGATTGACTGATCTATCTGATGTATCTATCCTGATATAAATATATACATTCCAAATATTTTTTGATCTTAAAAGTATTTTCCAGAGCAAACTTTTGAATTTTGATATAATCAATTTTATAATGTTTCTTTTTGTCTTTGGTACTGGGAATTGAACTTGGGACCTTGCGCTTAAGAGGCAGGTAGCAGACCTATACACTGAAAACTACAGCACTCTAAAAAAAGAGATCGCAGAGGATATAAGAACATGGAAAGATATCCCATGCTCCTGGATAGGAAGAATCAACATAGTGAAAATGGCCATATGACCAAAACTGCTATACAGATTCAGTGTAATGCCAATTGAAATTCCAACAGTATATTTCAGAGAACTAGAAAAAATAATCCAAAAATTCATTTGGAACAGAAGAGACCTAGAATAGCTAAAGCCATCCTAGGCAACAGCAATATGGCAGTGGGTATAACAATTCCCAATTTGAAACTATACTACAAAGCCACAATGATAAAAACAGCATGGTATTGGCAAAGAAACAGATCTGAGGATCAGTGGAATAGATTGGAAGATACAGAAACAACTCCAGATGTACTCAGCTACCTCATCTTTGACAAAGGAGTCAACCATCCTCACTGCAGGAAAGATAGCCTCTTTAATAAATGGTATTGGAAAAACTGGATTTCAACCTGCCAAAGATTAAGACTAGATCCTTATCTTTCACCATGCACTAAACTAAAATCAAAGTGGATTAAAGATCTAAATATTAAAAAGAGTCACTAAATTTGCTGGAAGATAAGTTAGGCAGAACTTTTGAAGACATTGGCATAGGAAAAGACTTTATGAACAAATCCTCAGTAGCACGGAAACTAGCAGAAAGAATCAACAAGTGGGATCTCATCTTATTAAAAAGCTTCTGCACTGCAAAAGAAACCATCAACAGAACTAAGAGACAACCTACAATGTGGGAAAAAATTTTTACCAGCTGCTCCTCAGACAAAGGACTATTATCTAGAATATATAAAGAACTAAAACAACTCAGCCCCCCCAACATAAAGACCCGAATCAAAAATGGGCATCTGAAATGAACAGACATTTCTCAGACAAAGAAGTAAAAGCAGCAAGTAGATATATGAAAAATGTTCCACATCACTGGTCATTCAAGAGATGTAGATGAAAACAACTCTGAGATTACACCTCACCCCAGAAAGAATGGCTGCTATCAAGAAATCAAACAATAACAAATGTTGGTGGGCTTGTGGGGAGGAAGAGACCCTTCTCCATTGTTGGTGGGAGTGCAGACTGGTGCAACCACTATGGAAGTCAATATGGAGATACCTCAAAGAGCTGGGACTAGAGGTTCCATTTGACCCAGCCATCCCTCTGCTGGGTATCTTTCCAAAAGAATTAAAAGAATCATACCGCTGTACTGTAGACCTAGATTGTACCAATAAGCTCATTTAAAAAAAAGAATCATACCACAGTGATATATGCACACCCATCTTTATAGCGGCACAGTTTGCAATAGCTAAAACTTGGAAACAGTCCATTTGCCCATCAGTTGGAGACTGGATAAAGAAGATGTGGTTTTTCTATAAAATGGAATACTACTCAGCCATAAAGAATAAGAAATTAGAGTCATTCATAGGAAAATGGATGCATATTGAGGCCATACTCTTAAGTGAAATAAATATGACACACATGTATAAATACCAAACAGTTTCTCTGGTGTGAAAAACTATAATTGTAAATAAGATCCTAATGGTATAATTGACAATGTGTAATAGGAAGATAAGGGGCTAAATGTGTAGGGAAGTGGGAAGGGTAGGGGAAAGGAAATAAGGCAAAAGAAAAAAATATGAGAGAATGAAAAAATGGAAATAAAGTATTTGTAAATAGGGAAGGGAGGAGGGGGTGAAGGGAGCACAGGGGTATGAGGAAAAAATGAGAACCAAGACCTGCCATGTAAAGGTACAAGATCCCAATGATGAATATAACTACTGTATACCTAAAATGTAGAAATGAACTCAGTGTGTGTGTGTGTGTGTGTGTGTGTGTGTGTGTGTG